ATATGTTAGAGAAAAGAAACACATGCAATTTTATTGTAAATTAATTTTATTTTTCTTCTATTTCTTTTTTTTTTTGATAACGAAATTCATTCATCTGTGTTCAATTATATTTCCTTAATTAATTTATTATTATCGTTATATTATATTTTGGAAGATTATTAGAGAAAAAACATATATGAAAATAATTGTATTTGGATATATTAAAATTGAAATATAATATTGATGTGGTACGAGCGTAAAAAAAAAAAGAAGGATTTCAATTGATTTATTTAAACGAATTTACAAAAAAAAAAAACATCGGTATGAATGAACACGTAAATGAAAATTTTTATGAGAGACAGAGAGAGAGAGAGAGAAAAAAAAAGAAGGAAAAAAGAAAAGATGTAAGATCGTTAAGAAAAATTTAGCCATTCGTTGAAACAACACGGTTTAGAATGAAAGAACGCTCGAAACATGTGTTCACCGTCTACTAAAGCACTTCAGAATATCTATTTTTGTTAGACGTCAAGTTATTCCGAGCTACGTTCCGGCCTCGCGAAGTGCATCGACTGTCATCGATGTTCTAGGAATAAAAAGCTTCGATCGTTCGATATTCATGGTAAACAAATTTGTTTTTTTTTTTCTTCCTTTCCGATTTCATTCTCGTATCTTCTACGATAATGAACAATTTTTCAATCTACGTATCGTTATTCTTCACTTTTCGTGTGTATCGTAAAAAAATTGCATTTTATCAAATCCAAATTTTAGATTCATTTTATTTACACTGTCGTTAGAAACAAAATATTCTCGTAATATTCGTTTATTAGATGATAGATGTAAAAAATGAAAGAAAGGAACAAAAAAGATAAAATATTCTAAGATGATTCGTTATAAGAGGAGTCATCGATGAAGAAAACGATCTTGCATGATCGTAAAATTTGATCTAAAGGTAACAAAGTTCCGGCACATATTTCCTACACCATTTCCCCCACTTCTCTTTCTTCTTCTTCTTCTTCATCTTCTCTGGGAATTAATGATCCGTAAACAAACGATTTCGTTTCTTACATTTACATTTATTCTAGATTTCAGATTTTTCTAACATCACGCGACCAAGATTAATGTAAGGAAAACGATTCGTTGATACGACCGTTCAATGAATCTTTCAACAAAAGAACAAAAAACTTTAATATACTTTCAAATCCACTTCCCCCCACCTCCCCCCAACTCTCTAAAATATCGTTAACGACAAATTCAATTTTAATTTGTACGATTAAAAAATAACAACGCGCGATTTGTCATAAAAACAAAACCAAAAAAAAGCAATAAAAAATGAATAAAATAATATAATTTAATAATCTAATAAAAAAA